CAATATTCCCTGATATAGTGACAATATTCCCTGATAAAGTGACAATATTCCCTGATAGCTTCCACCTGCCCAGAAAAGCCAGCAATATCTATGAAATCCTGGCATTTATGGTTCATTTTGTCTCCTAAGAAAAGTGGACAGTGAGGATGTAGGGAAAACAATGAGAAAGAATAAAAAGGAGTGTGTGAAGTGGGAGGGACAGGACTGCCAGATCCCAAGCTGGAAATCCTCTGTCAAGCCTCAAAAGTTACACTGAGTTGAAAGGACAAGACTTTTAAAAGTAATAATTCTTGGAGCTCTTATCTCTTTCCTTCCTGGGTTTCTCAGCCCTTTGTGTTCACGGTTTCAAACTTTTGGCTGCCACCGTGGGAGATTAAAACTGAACATAAACCCAGTGTTGGTTTCACCTGACTCTAAGTCAGTCCTGGAGATTGCCAGGCTGGCACTAAAATCCCAGGACTTTGTGACATCCACTCCCTGTTTCAAAACTACCCTGTCCTTTCTCTCTGAGACACTTTGCAAATAAAGATCTTTTCCAAAAGGCATAAGCGACACTCCAGTGAAGCAATTTCTTTTCCTGGCACTGCTAAGAGCAGGGACTGAGTTATTATTAATTACTTTTGCATTATTTATGCAGGTCCTTGAATGTGCAATATCTTTTACAGATAAATCACCCTGCCTTGAAAAGTTTCCAGTCTGCCAGCCAAATCCTGGGAATCTGAAACAGCAGCAGGCAACTGGTGCAGCAGAACAGGTAAATGTTAATCCTTGATGCTGCAGGACTGGTGCCTTATCAACGTTTTTCTTTCATTTGTTTTGCAATTGCACCAAACAGACTCAACTGATGCTGTTGTTTCCCAACCTCTTTAATCTGGTGTCACTTGACAGGAGCAGCCTCCATCCTCTTCCTCATTCCCACTCCTTCTCTTGCCTCTCTTCTTTTTTTTTTTTGTGCTGCAGTGGAGAACCAAAGCAGGGACATGGCAGAATTAAGGAGAGGTTTCTTTCAGGCCAGTCCCAGCCTGTCCCCCTGTGCATGGGTGTCTCTGTCCCTCTCAGGAACCCTTGGCCCGTCCTGAGTAGGCAGACATTGAGGGGACAGCCCTGACACAGCAGAGAGCAGGGAGACCCTCTCTGTGCCCCGAGGGTGCTGAGGGCACCTGGGCTGGTGCCTTTGCAGCAGAACAGACACCAGAGACCTGGGTAGATGATGAAGGGCCGACTCTCAGCAGGAGTTAATCCAAGGTTTTATTC